TGAAAAGAAAAAGGTTGCTTTTGGGGGAAATACTCAGAGTCCGGGGTTCTGGGGTCAAGAATAAGGCCCTTGTGAAAGCGCGCGTGGGAGAGATCATGAGGATGGGAAGGACGTCCTTCAGGGGTCAGGGACAGCAGTTTAACAGGAGGGACATGCTTCAGTGGAACGCGGTTGTCAAACAAAGTTTCCTAACAGCTACGTCATTTCCAGCGAGAGAAGGAAATTTCTGAGAAAAGAACTTTGATAGATACTAGGATCACAGGAAAAACCCTAAAAACGACGATGTCCACGGGAGGGAGGAACGGTAGAGCCTGGGGTTGCTTTTGAAAAGAGGGTGGGGGAGAAAAGAGGGACAACGCGGGATGGTGGTCACTGATCCCATCTGCAGCTCAGCTGCCCCAGGGCCCCGCAGGGTGTGCAGAGTTCCAGAGTGTCCCTCTACACATCGTTGTCAGGAGGTTGGAAATGTCCGAAAACAGGCCACAGAGCCAGCAGCATTCACCCACCTTGGCAGGGGGGAGTTGTGACTTCTCCACTTCTCTCCCCTGGTCCTTCCCGTGTGGGCCCTTGCTTCTCCACAGAAGGAATGGGAGGAGACCCAGGAGACCAGGGACAGGAAGAGAGAGGTGGGAGCAGCGGAGGGCCAGGGGGCTGGCAGGACTGTGGGGAAAACGAGGCGCACTCAGCAATGCAGTCCAGCAAGGGAGCTGTGAGTTCAGGGACAGCGGCTTTCCTCCTGTTCCCAGAACGTCACAGAACTCCTCAGCTGCCACCCAACAGCCTCTCCCACCAAGCAGCTCAGATCTGGAGAGCTGCCCTTGGCGCCTGCCGGGGTGGCACCTCGTCCACTGCTTGTCCTCGGTTGTTAGCCACACGGGGCACACCATTCCAGACTTAGGATGAATGCTGTCGGGCAGGCACACTTTGCATCTTTTCCCTCCTAAAAACGTACAGCCGTGTCACCGTGTGATGGGACAAGCAGAAGTCTGAAGTGTAGCAGAGCAGCCCTTCCTTGTGCAGGTCCGTGAGCGTTTTCTGCACGTTCTGACAACAGTGAATAGGCCCAGCCAGGGTTACTGAGGAAGGCGGATCATAGTGATTCTTAGTCTTCAACGAGGTATAATCAATATCACAAGTCCAGTTTGCAGTTGCTTTTGTACTGCATGTCCCAAGTGGCACCTAAGACCAGACCCACATCCCTACAACAAAACTGGGATCACCATTTAGATAATTAAAGAGAAAGAAGTCTGAACTTTTAAATATCGTAGATGAGCGTGCTTTGAGCAAAAACTCAAGATACTTGTATTCTCCACTTTACTTGTGCTGAACATGCAGATTAGGCCTGCAGCTCGCGAAACACGTAGGACACTCATTTTCTCCAGGTGGGGGGAGTCGCCTTAGCAGCTCTTCAGAGTGATGCAGTTCGACGCGTGAAAAAAGTGTCCCTTCTCATATTCATTGAGCCTGAAAGTAAATTAACCCCAGGCCATAATGTTCTATGCGGAGAAAAGGGTGATATAGTAACTGGTGGGAGAAATAAACAGCAGCTAAGCAGAAGAGAACGCAGGCGGTCGTTAGAACCTGCCGCTTTTGTCTGTCACTGTCTAACACTTGTACTTAAATGCCATGCATAGAGCACCAGAACCTGAACCGTGCCGTGCACACACAGTAACGTGTATTTACGGTGAAAGCATAACAAGGAATGTTCTAAGGAAGGGTGGTTTTGTTCTGAGGAGGCCTTTGTAAGAACTCGGGGTGCGCTCTAAACGGGGTGCAGCTACGGAGAGTGCTGCAAGGAGCGCCCACGTCCCGTCCTGTGCCCTCGCCCCTCACACGCGGCTGCAGAACCAGGCGACGGGAGACCGGCTTCGTGACGGCGGAGCCGGGGGCCGCTGCGGAGGACGTTTCTGCATGTGCAGGGTGGGCGCCCCGCCTGAGGATGGTGCTACTCGGGGGTCCCCACCATGCCACTAACACTCGCTGCACTCTGGGGAGCAATGGCCCTTCCCAGAGCTCAGCAGGGAAGGTCACCTGCTTAAGCTCACCGAGCTGGTAGGTGGCTGAGCCGGGATGTGACCGCAAGAGTCACGCTCCCAGTCACCGTGCGCAGCGCGGCCTTACCTCTGAACTGGCAGCGCCTCCCGGGGCAGAAGTCGGGGGGCGCCGAGGGGGCACAGTGAATATTTTACCCCCGAGTGCGGGCCGAGCCGCCTGGCGCCCGTGGGCCACCACCACGTCCCCTCCCACGAGGGTCCCTGCACCGTTGGCTCCGCCGTGCCCGCCGCTGCAGACCGACTCCCCAGAGCCCGCATGGAGTCGCGTCACCCAGCCCTGAGGCCCGCAGCAGGCCGTCGCGTCTGCACATCGCTGGCGCCGACCCCTTGTCTGGGACGCGAGGCCCCGCGCCCTGGCTTGCAGCGCTGCCCGAATGGGCGCCAGCGCACGACAAGCGACGGGAAGGACGTGAGTCCAGGTGCGGTTTCAGGAAACTCGCGTCCCGATGGGTTTCCGTTCACGATGTTAAAGGTCCCAGCCCGAGCCAAGTGGGAAAGCCCCCGTTTGATGACACCGGCTCCGGGAAGCCAAGGACCGAGCCTCGCCGCCCCCCTCCAGCGCCCGTCCTCATGCTGGTTCAGTGCTGGGCTTCGGCCCGGGGAGGGTGCGGCCCCTGCTCGGTGAAGACGTGCCCGTCGCCCGCACCCTGGGTGCCCTTCCCGCTTTCGGCCTTTGCAACACGCGCCCCGGCCCCGGGCACGCGGTGCCCTGTCCTGTTTATCTTTTCTCCAGCTAGAACAGGTGGCGGCTGTCGCAGCCCCGTTATTCAGAACAAACTCAGGAGCTGGCCGGTTAGCTCGGGTGGTTAGAGCGCGGGGCCCATGCCACCCAGGTCGGGGTTCCATCCCTGTGCCGGCCAGCTGCAAATAACAGCAACAACAAAGCGCCAAAACAGGTTCTTGCTCGAGAAAAGTAGGACTAAAAAAACAGAGAAAATTAAGAGTAAGACTTCAAGACATCTTTCCATGTAGTCCTCTTAGGTTGGACCTCTGGAAGACAACTTGAAGAAATTAACTGATCTGACCAGGCTCTGGAAACAAAAATGTCCTGGTATTTTAGGTTAGACACTTCCAACTTCTGTTTATCCCACAGTCCTCGCTGTAAAAAGTAAAAAAAAAAAAAATCTATCTACTCACATACCCACCTGTCCATCATGTGTCTACCTACCTACTGATCCATCATCTACCTACCTATATATCCACCGATTACCCACCCATCCATCCATCCATCCATCCATCTAGCTATAAATCTATCAATCCATACATCTACCTATCTGATGAGAGAGAGAAAAATGCAGCTACTAAAGTCAATTAAAACATTAAATATTAGTAAGGCTTAATGTATTTTATTTTCAGACAAATAAATGTAAAAAGAAATCCCAATATTCTCCCTGCCTCACAGAGGATAATCTTATAAACATCCTGGACCTCAGTAAAGACCCCTGCTCTGTGTGAGGAGGACCCAGGGGTAGAAGGATATCAGCTCTTCGTACACTTGATTAGCTGACTGGGAGGATTTTTTTTTTTTTAAGTGTATTTTAGCATCTCGGGTTCACAGGTCTTAGATGTTTCTGAATTTTAAAGATATACAACCATCTCTATTTCTTCTTTCCCCTATTTCTTCTGACTGGCATGGATTTTAATAGATAAGATAGCCTTAGAGATATTTTCTAGTTTTGAACTATTTTTGACACCTATTCTATACTTTGGAATTGAGGCTCTTTGTTTCATAAGATGCCTAAGACTTGTCTATTACCCAAAAGTGAGCAGGAAAGCCGTGGGCCTGCCTGTGGTTTCTTCCATGGCAAGAGAAAAGCACCCGCC